ACAAACTTTCTTTGTCTTACAGTGACAGGACATATTTTTTCCCACAGCAGTTCTGTTTCCTTTTCATAAAATCACAGGATCATTACTGTTGGAGAAAAACAGCAGGATCATTGAGTACAAACTTTGACCAATTCTTTCTCTTATGAAAGCATAGATTAGCATCATGACAAAATACTTCCAATGTTAGCAAAGACTGACTCAAACATTCAGGTTTTTAAGAGCAGTGACTGGAAGGAAAACTGATCAGACATAATGACTAAATGTTGGTGCTTCTGATATTTGCAGGGATGTAGATAGTACTCTAAATCTGCAAATATATTTCTAGTATTTTTCTTTTTTTTTTTTTTCCATCTTCAGCCTTATCACAAGATGTTGTTTCATGGCTATTTTTATACAATATACAAAACAGAACACTACTGTTGACCGAATCTTGATGTTAGTTATGTATCTCACTTGTACTGAAGCAAGACCATGCCTTATCCTAAAGTTCAGCTTAGTAAAACTGCGTGTGTGTTTGTAGGAAGAGACCACAGTCCATATAGCTAAGATGTTGAAGGGCAACTCTTCTCTTGTGGAGCTGCACTTGAGCAAGCATGAAATGAAAAACTTTGGTGTAGAGCGACTGTGTGAGGCCCTGTATGAAAACTCCAGCCTGAGATACCTTGACCTCAGCTGGTAAGAGTCATTAAGTGACATATCCATGACTAACAGAAATTAATTTTCTTAGCACCTATTTTTTTTTTTAAATATGTGCATCTCTCTTTCAGTAATAAAATAACCTCCGATGGTGTAAAATTTTTGGGAGAGCTGCTAAAACGGAACCAAAGCCTGGTAATCCTGGATCTGAATGCAAACAGAATAGAAGATGCTGGAGCCACGTACCTGAGTGAAGCCTTGTCTGTGCACAACAGGACTCTGCAGGCGTTAGTATCTGCACAGCTTCCCCAGGGACTGCAGGTGTAGGGAACCTGGACTTGGCAGTGGTAGAACTGGCATCAAAGCTGTGTGCTTTGATGTTGATCAAAATAGGAAAGTCAGGAAGTTCCAAATGTTTTGGTCTATTTTTCCTTCTTGGGGAAAGAAACCTGCGAGTGAGAGACTGGGTGGGATTTCTTTGCTAAGCTGCCAGGTGAGATGCCCCAAGACCTGTGGGACATCCTGGGGTGCTGGGGGTGAGCCCAGGTCTGCTCAGATCTCCCACAGCTTTTCCAGTTGCTCCAAGAGGTGTGGGGGGGGAAGGCAATTAGATCTGTCAGTTCTTTCTGCATCTTTAAAGAGCAGGTCCCTGTGGGGCACAAACGAAAACAAGAGCTGCAGGCCTTCAGAATTCTGAGATAATCAGATTCCACGCAGGGATAAGGCACTATATTTGTTGATTCTGATCTTCAACACTTAGGAAAATCCTCTATTTAAGTTTGCTTCCGGGTGAACCCAGCAGAGCTGTAATCTCTCCACCAGGGCGTCTTTTGCAGCCGCGTTAAACCCTCGCGGGCAGGATGTAAAAGCTGATCAAAGGTGTTACCTGGAGCCATTAGTTTTAAGTAGCAGACTGAGGAGGTGGCGGCTCTGAGGTGCTCTGAAAGCCTTCCAGGTTCCCTAACATAAAAATAACTGCCACTCCACAAAGATCAAAGCTTAGCCTGGATAAATGCCAAGGCTTGGGCTTCAAAGCAGGCTAGAGATGAGACCTGGCCACCATGGAGCAAGTCACTGACACCGGGGAACTCAAGAGTGAACAACCTTGGCTGCATGAGCCTGGAGAAATAGAGCAAGTCATAGTCCAACTGCCTTTGGCAACCTGAGAAGGATATTATAGTAGGACTGGCCTTGATACAATTAAAGAATTGTATTATTAATGACAAATATAGAAGTTCAATATATATTATATAATAATAACATATAGAAAAAGCATAAATCATAGTTAAACTCTTATTCTTAACTAAGAGATGTGAGTTCCATGGTCTGGCATGCACACTGTGTAACTGTTTTCTCTGTTTGTCAGGTTGTCAGTAGTAAGCTGCAGTATAAGTGGCAAAGGACTTACAGCTCTTTCAAATGCAATCAAAGCAAACATGATACTTTCCTATATATACATTTGGGGGAACACATTTGATGAAGATGCTTGTATGGTAAGTGTTTGTTTCTGAACTCCTCTGAGAGGGCTGGGTTTTGTTTGTTTGTTCCAATTTGTTTTTACTATCACTGGGTAGACTACAGCAATTAGTGAATGAGATACCTGATTTACTGGTTTTTTTTTAAAAATAATTATAACCTGGTGGTGCTGGATTGAGACAGTGGAGGTCAGCATACTGAAGTGATTGAGTACTTACTGTGTGTTATGTTGTAGAGCCTTCACTGCAGTCAAAAAGAAATTTTATCTGTCATATTCCTGTTCTCATTTTTCAGTCATTTTCAGAGTTAATTCAGATGGGTCGCCTGAATCCCAACTGCACAGACGTGGCCCCGTACGAGGTGGACGGGCAAGCTCAGCTGGCAGAGCTGTCCCACGGCCTCCAGAGGGAATACTACTGGGCCCCACGGCACAGGGTCGTGGCAGACAGTGCTGCCAACGCCAGCCTGGGACTTGTAGCTGTTTCAGAGTATCTGTGAGTGAGGCAGCACTCTACAGGCCTGGGCTTTGCCTGTCTGGTTTCTAGTAAAATAAATGATATCAGTGTCAGATTTGCTTCATGTTGTTTCTTCAGGTTTAAGTTTAAAAGGAATCTAAAACTGCTTGAAATGGCAAAATGATAACATATTGAACAAATGACCTTCAAATTCAGTGCTAAATAATGCCCAGTCTATGGAGAGTCTATTACTATAAAAAAGTTTACACCCAGGCAGAGCACACTGACTAAAAGCTGACAGCCAGGGCTGCCAGGCAGCAAATCAGACCTGCTGCAGAGCAGGATTCCTGCTGGAGCTGAGAGCTTTTGTTACCATTCTACTCCATACACTCTCTCCTTTTACTTAGTAATTGCATCCTTTGGATCTTCTTCCCATAGGGACATTTTTAAACCAAAGTAAGTGAACTTAAGCATTAAGCCACGATCATGGTGGATCTTCAAAGCTAGTGAATGGAGTTTACTGGGATATACATGGAATTTTGATTAACTTGCAGCCTGTACTTGTTTCTTGCACTACAAATAGGAACCACAACCAACCCTGGTGCCATTATTTCTTCCTATCTCTTGAAATCTGTCTAAAAACTTTTCTGTCATTATAGCCCTGTGGCAACTCCTGCACATGAGTTGCATTTAATGGTAGTTAAACATTGTTTAAGGGTTTGAATGCAGACTTTGTAGAAGTTTGGGAATCACTCAGCTTGTTACCTTTTTCCATCCACTATGCTCATCCCTGCAGAAGTGACTCCATTTATGCTCCTAAATAGAAAAAGTCACCAAACAGAGTCATGGATTATCCTGCTCTCCTATCTGTGAGATCCAAGCATGAGGAGAAAAAGGTAAGGAAGTTATTTTACCAATAACAGCTGAGAAGCAGCAATGCAACTTCTGCTGTTCTGACTCTCTCTTATCACAGTGGGAGATGTACTGACACCCCTTCCCCAGCTGAAATGACCAAGGCAGTTGTGAGAGCTGTTGTGTGTGTGTGTGTGGAGGTTTTCTGCCGTTTGATTGCTTTTTTTTTTCCTCATTGTCCCTTGCCTCCATCCCCAAACACAAATGAATCAGGCTCTGTTGCTCCAAAAAGCACCTGATATCACAAGAGGCCTTAGAGGTAAGCCCAGAGCAGGTATGTTTGTCCTACACACCTGCACAGGGCCCTCCTGACCTGCAGCCACTGTGTTGAGCACAAAGTCCATGTGACACACAGTGTGAACACCCTGTTTTAGAGGGGAGCTTATATTTTAACTATTGTTAAACAGGAAGGATGGAGCAATGAGAACAAAAGTTGAGGATACACTGGATGTGGTTGTTTGAGAAGAATCTGCATGCTGTGAACATTTCTAAGTTTTTAAACAATTAGATAAGCCTGTATTGGTATTTTCCCAGTGTTGCTGCTCTGGGACATAGCAGGCTATACTCTGATAGTCTACAGAGAGGCCTCTCAGTACTGAGATACTGGTGACAGAATTTCTTGTCAGAAACACCACTAAAAGACTCAGATTAAGGTATTTTTTCCATATATCTTTCTTTCCTTTGTCTGGTATATGAAGTTCAGACTAATTTCAAATTAATCTTTAATTTACTTGTATGAATGACATTCATTAATCTGCCATGGTAATGGGGAACCAACTCTTCCAAGAGCAGTATTTTATTTTTAGTGATGTGGTTAAGATGGCAACAATATCATACAAAAAGTGTGTCAGGATAAATGGCATCTACTTTCAAAAGTGCTGGTGTATGTGTTTGAAATATTTGCACTCTATCTGACCCCTTGTTTAACAGCAACATGCTCAGCCTAGAAGAGCACTCTGCATTATTGACAATACCCATAAAACCAGCTCATGTGTTACAGTTTACTTTTATATTCTCTTGTAAGTAAAGGTTGCAGAGTAATTCCTGAATTCTGTATAAACAGCTTCCTAAAAACTAAAATAATTATTTGTGCCTAACCCTGTATTGCTTAAAGAGAACTATGCCAGAGACTGCTATTGCTTTTCTTTCTCTGAAAACCAAACCTTGACATCTTGTAAGAATTTATCTTGTGTTCTTTGGAATGAGAGAATTTACACAGGCTAGAATCTTTTGCCATGTTCTAAGTTATTTTAGTAGCTAAAGCAAGCATAGTCCTGCTCTGAAAACCATCCTTCCAGCTTTTAGAACTTGCTCTACTTTGCTGAAAGGCAGAATCTTTGCCCCAGTTTCAAAGGGAAGGAAAATGACTGATCCAGCTGGGCAGTGGTACAGCACAGGTCCCCTAAAGCCCACTCTGTGCTCCAAGGGCCCCCATGGTCCTTGTTCCAGGGTGCTGTGAGGGGGGTGATGTCTGACTGTTTCCCTCTTGCTTTTGGTGCAGTCATAACAGGAGACACAAGGTGAGGGAAAATTACAAAACAAGTTTATTAAAGTCTAACATAAAACACTTCAGGCTAAATATGTACAACCCCCTCCCTTCCCAGGGGATTATAAAATCGAGAGTTGAGGTATATACAAATAACAGAGGAAAAATTGTATATACATGACATACTTTAAAAATAATTTAACCAAAAAAATCAGTTATTAGTCCTTATCTGAACTTAATTCTGCAAGGCTTATTGAGCCTCTCCAGGATCACAGCCCTGAAATCCTTCATGTGGGACTTGTCTGTACTTGAAAATTGCTCTTTAACAAATGATATCAGAAGGGTTGTCATGCTTTGTGCCCACTTACGGGCACAAATTTGGAAGTAAATGTCATACAAGGAGCTATTCTCACCTAAATATTTCCAAGCAGCCAATTCAGAGATTTCTAGATGCAGAGAAGCTATTCAGGCAAAACTTGCACCAACTTCAGTGCAAAACTGACTGAAACAACAGCTTGTGTCATTGTCTCTAAATGACTGTTAACAGAATTATTAAAATTCCTTCTTTCCTTTTGCAAGGAGACGTCTGCCTACAAAGATTCCATGCTTTCCCCTATTAATCCCTTACAGAAATGACCAATACTGTTATGAGCCTTGTACCTCCCAAATGAACCCAGAATCCCTAAGCCTAGGACTTCAGATGTGCAGCTGATTTCCATGCATCTATTGGCAAAAGGTACAGTCCAGACCTACAGCCTGAACACACCTACAAATATATTTATATATATATATACTTAAAATCTATATTCTAGTAAATGAATACAGTTTGTAGAGATCATACCTCAGCAGCTGAGATATCTTCATGAAAAATGAGGCTAAAAATCAAGATTCTCAGATGGGGACTCAAGAGTGCAGGTCACTAAATTATTGCTCCAAGACAAAACTACAAGCCTGTGTATTCTATTAAGAAAGGTTAAAATTGTTGTCTTGTAAAAAATAATGATTATCTTCTTGTCTATAAAGAAAACTAAATGACTAATAAAGCAAGTGTTACTGTTATAAGTATCTAAACAAATCCTGTATAAATCTAAGCACTGTATTTTTTAAAAAAGTCTGAAATCTAAGAATACAGTAACAAGCTATAATTTTAGAAATATAAAACCAGTCCAAACGAACATTGTTATGGAATGCATTTTCTATGTAGGAATGTAATTATTTTTTAGGTTTCTTTCCAGAGCTAGTTCTCTCTCATGGTCATTTGTCCTGGACATGCTTATCTTCAGCTACTTTTCCTCAGGGAACAGCAGCATATCGTTAGTTTGTCTTCCAAACCTGTTTAGATATGGAAGTTATCAGTTGCAGGGTGTTTCTTTCTCAGTATTCATGACTAAGCCTACATCTGTCCCAAGATTTCTGCTCTATTTTCAGAGAGAGAAAGTAAAGAGGAAGCTTAGGACAAGCTACACACAGAAAAGATCCCGACCTTTGGGGTTCTTCAGTCTTAAATGGCAAGGCTAAGGAATCCCTCAGGGGCTACAGCAACAACAGGAGCTAAAAGAGAAAAGAGGGGAGGAAAAGGGGAAATGCCAAAGAAACAAGAAAAAAAATACCAGAGAACTTCATCCTTTGTCTTCTGCTAGTGTTATGAACATCAGCTGTTCATAAATGTTGTGGGACAGAGAGATAAAGAAATTAAAGGTCAGGCAGGTCCAGCAATAATCAGCTCCAGTGGACAGAATGAGAGATTCCTGAATTAAGGATGTTCCCATTGAACATGGCTGTACTCCTGCTGTCTGTGGCAGACTTCATCAGCAAATTTACCATATATTAAAGCATAAAATATGATCAAGCAGCAGGTTTTAAACGTGGCATATACTAAGATGATCAACACAAAGAAGCAAAAGGTCTATTACTTTACAAGTACAAACATATAGGAAGAGAAAAATAAATCTATAGTCATGGTCAGGAGTCAGGGGATCACTTGCAGAATATTTAAATGAAACCCTACAAGAAATTTTTCATGAGTCTGTTTAATTAAGGTGCAGATTAATTATTACTCCGTGTAGAACAGGATCAGTTAAGAGGTATCTCCTATGCTCTTCTATTTATCAGTGTCTGGACACAAGGCATCAGTGGAAATAAATGCTAGCACCAAGTAAATAACCAACAAAGTACAGCTTTAAATGCATTGTTGGTACAGTATGATCACTGTTTCATTACTATTTGATGATTACTTAAATAATGCTTACATTGCTAATGGCACAAACTGGCAAAATAGAGTAGGAGAGTACTCCTATGGTCACCTAGTCTTTTATGACCCTACCAAGACACTAAAAACGTTGCTTTTTAAATATATCTGTTGCTAGGAATAAAACATATCTTTATGGTTCTTGCTAGGTACCAGTTTTGTGCATTTACTGTGGACAAGTGACATGAGAGTTAAAGCAATACACAAAAACTTCAATTAAATTAGTCACACTAACAAAATCTTCCCTGGAAGAATATCCATCTGCTCTGCTGTATTAGTCTTTAATACCCCCTCATGTAGTGTTCTCTTACTATTTTCACAGTGAAGGGCAGGATTTATTTCCTCTTCTGGACCTCCTGTCTAGCACAAGAAGCAGCACTACAGTAAAAAAAGGATTATGAAGCTCTCATTGACGCCTCACAAATTAAGTCACTGCCTCTTTTTGTCTCATCTACAACATGCATGTTCCAGCTCTCCTTTTGTTGCTGTTTGTGCCAAACCCGGGGCAGTTTAGGGATGTGAACAATAAATCTGGGACAAGATCTGACAGTGCTGGATTGACTTAAACAAACAAACAAAGGCAACTTGTTGGAAAGAAAACCCAGTAGTTTCTATGCCATTAGGACCCTCTGACTTGCCACACTACAGAAAGAAATTAACCTTCCTTTACTCGTCTTGTCAGGAAAATACACCCAAACCTTTCTTGCCCTCTGGTCAGGCTTCACCTGCAGATGGCACTTCTGGCAGCCAGCAGCAAATCTTTGCAAGCACCTCAGCACAGCCCTGACCGACCTTCCCCATGGACCATTCCAGCACCTTGGAGTGCAGGCTTATGAATATAGCCAAATTATGACTTTCCCTTGCATCTCTGGGTTAATATTCTTAAACTATTAAATATGGCTTAAAATATCTGTTCTCAAGTGACACTGTGACACATCAAATCAGCAGAAACATGGGAGGAGATCTCCAAGACACATTAACATACGTAACAGAGAATTCTTAAGGCAGGTGTTGCTGGAAAGGAATCGTCTCCTGGAAATCAGTATTAATTGCAAATAGAAATCTGATTGCAGATTAGCACAATTCAGCACTGCATGATGGAAATGCCTTAGAGGTGTCTTTACACAAAGGGAAAACAAAGAACAAGTCCAATTCAAAGAGCGTGACTGCTTGTTTGATCACGTGCATCTTACCAAATGTTTGCAGGTTCACTACCAAACTACTGCTCTGTCAGTACAACTGCTGCAAGAAAATGAACTGAGGTTCTGAGTATCCAGTCACAGCAGATCTCAGCAATGTTTCTGATGAAGGGGACTGGCTCCCCGTCATGGGAAGCAGCATCTGGTGGTCTTCAGTCCCAATGGGAAGAGGAAGTGCTAAAGACATCTCAGAGGGCTTCACATCTATGGACTCTGACAAAGGACTTTTCTGACTCTGAATGGATTCTTGTTCATTGAAAGAATTATCGAGTGCATTAGAATCGGGGGGAGTTTCGGGTCCTAAGGAAAAGACAAAAAAAAAAGAAATCTTTAAAAGTTCCTGTGCAAATTCTGCAAATTCCTTCTCAACTGACTGTCAGAGCCAACACTTGGTGTGTTGCAGGCTGCCTGGACAGCTGGGATACCAGTGGCTTCCATGTGCTTGGAAAGCCAGAGCAAGCTGTAAATACAGTGTAAGCACTAGGAATCACATCTGCTGCTGCTTGTAGTGTGACAACTAGAAGGATGATGCATTCCAACCTGATCTCTACTTGGCATGGTACAGGAGATAACAAATCCTTAACATCACAGTGAACAAAGGACCTTTAAAAAATGTAGTTATGAAAGTTTCCTTGAGATTTCCCACCCCAGAAAATCTCGGAACCAGAGCCACAGCCAAGCATCCTTCTCTACCTAAGGTAGCAATGTACAATGTATCATTTATCCATAAACTTCTTTGGAAGAAGATATTTGTTAACTCCATTCCAGCCAGACACATTATAGATTTTATCCAGTCACTTGAGAAATGACTTTCTATTCCTAATTGAAATCTCTGTTAATGGGCTCCTCGCTGCCTTCCTGTTTGAACACAGCCTGACACTGCTCTTGGATGGCTCTCAGATTAAACCACACTGGATATCTGACCCTTCCTCTTTCAAATCATGCTCCAAAGCCTGTTATTTCAGTGCTGGGGCACTTCTGTCTGCCTTCTGTCTCTCCATGAGAGCTGGCCTGCCTTGGCAGCTCTCCCAGCTCACACCCTTGGGCTCTGCCGGGCCCTCTGCACACTTAATGCTGCTCTCCCCTCACCCCAGGCTTCCTGCTGCACTGGGGCCTTCCTAAATTCAAATCTGTCTCTGCACATGGCTCTTGCTTTCTCATTCTCTCTCTCCCAATCCAGATGGGCACAGACACCTATTATTCCTCTTTCCATATGATAGAGGCAGGGATTTATGGCCAATACACAAGGATGGACAGACGAGGTGTACAGAGCCACTCCTGAACAAGGCTGGATACCTGAACATCTCTAAAGCAGATGCTTTTGGCTCTAAAGAGAGCTATTATCCAAAAATCTTTTATTTTCTAATTTTAGGCCTGCATGAGCAAAAAGATTTATTCAGCACTGGAGGCAAAAGAGCTGATGTAGTTCCTTAACCTTTCTTTGCACAAAGAACTCACCTGCGTGAACTTTCGTTTTGTGCTTCTTTAGATTTTTTATATCTGTGTAAGAATTTCCACACATTTCACAGATAAATGGTCTTTCACCTGAAAAATATTGGTTTGGTAGTTAGAACAATCTTGACATTGAAAGAAAATACAGTTAGAGATGCAGGATAATGGATTTCAGTGTTGTATTTTAAAACACAACTTTGTAACTCTTAGTTTGTCTGTGTGTCTGTATTCAGAATAAAATTGTTTCCAGAATAACAGTTTAAAATAAAGCAAGAAGACCTTAAAAATTTACAGTAAAGCCTTGATCATACATCAACACCTACGGTGGTGCAAAGATACTACTCTGAAAAAGGCAATTAAAAAAAATGAATTACTTTTTTCTTTACATTATGTTAGCCCAGAGATGCATAAATTAAGAAAATCTGCTACTTTCAGGTACAGCCCAATACAGTGCATTTTAAAGGCAAAAGGGTAGAATATAATTTATAGTGCAGGAAGCAGCTTGTCCAAAAACTGACCTGTATGGGACCGAAAATGTTTATTGAGCTCTCCAGAGGAAATAAAACTCTTTTCACAAATGCCACAGATATATGGCTTCTCTCCTAAAGGAAACACAAGGACTCTATTATTTCAATACATAAACCAGAATACACACAGAGAACAAATCAAACTGAAACAGAGGTAATGTCCAGTGGGAGAAAGAGCTCCCTAAACTGGAATCAGCGGGAAAAACACACGAGAAAGGAGCTGGATGACAACTCCAGAGGTAAATTCTGTGTCATTACCCATCTCCAACCCTTCTGCAGGATCCAGCCCTCCCTGGCCAGGCCTGTTTGTGCTCTGTCCCTTGCAGGTCCCTTCCAGCTCTGGGATTCTGTCCCCCCTTACCTGTGTGTTTCCGGGAATGGGTGATGAGGGAGCTGGAGACAGCAAAGGCTTTCCCACAGCTGTCACACACGTAGGGCTTCTCCCCGGTGTGGCGCCGGACGTGGTAGGTGAGGGTGCTGGCCTGGGCAAAGCGCTGCCCGCACCGGTCACACACGTACGGCTTCTCCCCGCTGTGCTTCCTGAAAAACAACACCCCAGTCACCTCCAGGAGGGAAGGGAAGCAGCACCCACTGCTGAGGAACCTGCCTCAGTTAGTGCTTCATCCCCAAAGCTCCTTCTGCTTATGGTCTGGGATACAGCAGAGATGTAACAACTGAGTCTGGTTTGAGCCTGCAGTTCTCGTGGAGTGAAACTCATGCCCTGTTCCATCTGGGATCAGCACATCCGTGATTTCCACGGCAGCTGAACTGAAATACAGGCCCTGCATGTGTAACATGCACCATGGGAACTCAGCATGCTTTGCATTTTAGTGAAAGACAAGATGACGATTCCCAACAAGGGAATACCATTCCTGCTTCTGCCAAAAATGCTGAAAGCCACACACAGACAGCAGCGAGAACTGCTCTGTCACTTCCCACCATGGAACTCTCTCTCCCTGGTGCTGCAAGCAGTTTAAAACAAACCCTGTGCCCCTGCCACAAGGATACCAGTGCACAGGCTGCAACATTCATACAGCACAAATCTCCTCCCTAATGAGCAAGTACATCCATGGAATTATTCTGTTAGGCACTGTGAGAGAAGTCCCATGAGAAAAGAGGGAGAAATGCCAAAATTATGTGAATGTGTAACTGTTGCTCACACTGGAGTAAAGGATTCTGTTTAAACAGACTCAAGGACAAGCATTTGCAGGATCTCCCTCGTGCCCACCTGGCGTGAATCTTCAGGTTGCTCGAGGTTGCGAACTGCAGGTTGCAGACGTCACATTTGTAGGGTTTCTCCTCTCCATGATGCATCCGGCTGTGGAACACCAGCTGGCACTTCTGAGCAAAGCCCTTGTCACACAGTTCACACTTGTATGGCTTCTCCCCTGGTGAAAAGGAACACACTTGTGCTCTCTGTATTTACCTAAGAAAAGCTTTGCAATCCATGACCCGAGCAGAGCTCAGGTGTCTGTTCTAATACTTCACAGCGGATAACAAGACTATTTTGTAACACATTATGTTTGTGGGGAAAAAAAAGGTAATAATGTTTTTAATAGTGCCACTTTCTCCACATTATTTTAAGAATGCTGCTACCATGTTTTCAGAATTTTTGCTGGTTATGTCTATTCATCACTCAAAATATTCAAGATGAACTAGTAAATCATCTGCTTTTTCTTGCCTGCCCAACTAACAAATCTATTTCATAGAAAGTCTTCAATGTACAGTCTAATGCTCACTAATTTCTTATTAGTGTCTGCTGCAGAATGCTGCAGGTACTTCTCTGACTAGTCATGTTCTCTTAGTGCTGAACAGTCTCCTGCAAGGGCTTGTGCAACTCTGCAGTCCCAGATGACAGTAAAAAATGCCTTTCTCTGCCATTCTGTGGCAGGGCACAATCAAACCACAAACTCAACAACTCACAAGCATATTGTGTACATAAAATCTTCAAAACTAAAAGTATTAGACATCTAATGTGCCATCTAGCAACCAACACCATGGAATTCCCTACCCACTCATGCAGAAATTCCCAGGACAATACCCTCAGAAGTACAAAGGACAGCTGACATTCCTACCAGCACCATCCCTGAATTCTGCTCACAATCAGGCTCCAGTAACTTGTTGTTCATCATCTTTTTAAGTCAGACATGTTGTTTTAAAATACTTAAGTGTTTCTAACTGATTTCTCTTTGATGCTTGATATGACACAAACTCCTGGTAACGTTACTGAATGCAACATCACACATTCCAGCTGTATTTTTACTAAATAAAATCCCAAATGCTGTAGTAACTCAGCCAACTTCTCTACTTGTTTCTGAAGACCCTAAAGGACAAGTTATGTGTAACGAGATTGCATTTTTTCCCCACTTTTGTTCTCAAACATGTATTATGTTTTGAAGTTTAAAAAAAAGCAAGAGGAATTCTGGTATCAAGTACAGAAAGATTTTCATGCTCTACTGACAGTAGCTTTTGGCACTCCATCACTCTACAGAGCTAAAGGCAGCTCTTCCGAGTCTCTCCAGAAATCAAGATGCTCAGACTTATAAAGTCCTCTCTAGCTACTAAAAGTAGAAACTATGATTTTGTACTGAAAAATGCTGAAACATTTCATGCTACCAGGATATCAGTACTATCCCAACAAACAAAATTTCAGGAGGAAGGAGTCAGAATGCAAAGATCTTTCTAGTCCTGCGTTCAGAGGCTGTGTGTGATTTCAGGTCTCCACAGCCCATGAGGCCAAAGTCTTACCTGTGTGAGTTCTTACATGTGTTTTCAGCTGATTGCACTGGGTGAATGCCTTCCCACACAGGTGACACACGTAGGGCTTCACCCCCTTGTGTATCCTCATGTGCCGACGGAGGCTGCTCGCCTCCGAGAACACTTTCCCACACGTGTTGCACACTGGCTTGGCTTTGGAGTACTTCTGGTCCAGCTCCTCTCCCGAGCTCTCCAGCTGGTAAGAGCCCTTGTCACTGGCTATGTTGGACATGCAGTGCTCCTTCAGGGCACAGCTCTGCTGAGGCTTCCCCCGTTTCTGTTTGGCTGCCATGGTCTGGGCCAGCATATCCTGCACTGCCAGCGTCTCGCTCTCGCCCACGGCTGCCAACTGCAGCTCGGAGTTATCACTGCCCTGGGCAGCCTGCTCTGTTATCTGGGTGGCCAGTTTGTTTGCATCTAAAAACAGCTCGATGGATGTGTTCTCGGTCACATCGTTCTGATACGGGAGGGATTTATTCTCTGTGCTTTTGGGGGGGCTGAAATTCTTCTTCCGCTTTTTGGGTTGAGGCGATTTCTTTTCCAAAGCTGCTTTCTTTGCCAGGGGTTGAACCAGCTCTGCAGCAGCAGCAGCAGCAGCAGCATCTGCTTTCTCCCGATTATTGTAATCTCTGAGAGTCAGAAGGCAAGTCTGCTGATTCATTTCAACGTTCCCAGTGATACTGGATGTCTCTGTGGAAGAGGGATTAGCAATAAAAGCAAAGTCCTCCATCTTGATCTTGCATTTAGTGACCACTTCTTCCACTTTGAGATAGTCGGCAGCCTGGTGAATCTCTTTAACATTCCAGCTGCAAGGAAACAAGGCTTGGGTGAAACATTCCGGACAAAGAAAACATTTGTTCTGCACTGACTGTATCATGCAGGGACACAGAGCTACAGAAAAGTTACAGTGTCAGAAAATATAACTTTGAGACCACACAGCAAGGTCTGATCTCTCAGTGCTGCAGCAACACAGGGCTCTAGAATGAGCTGAAGTCATTGTCTAGTGGGGTCTGCACACCCTCGAACTGAGGATTTTTATTTCCATTACATGCCTTTGTTGAATTTTAAGCTAAAAGTCAATTTGTAAGGTGGTGATGCTTACTGGACCAAAAAGCTCAGAAATCACAGCAGAAAGAGATAAAACACTGGAGAATAAAATGCATAAATTACCATCCCATAATCCTTCTGGCAAAAGTGTCAGGTAATTCACCAGCAGCACATTCACCTCAGCAATTCTGTGAGGCAGGTATTTATCTTGTTTTATAAAACAATCTGCAAAGAGTCTTAATTCTGTATCAGCTGCACACAGGCACCACTAACACCAAGGAAGTCCTCATTTAAACCACTGCACTCTATTTTGCAGTTCCTGCAACACAGACCTTGATGGTTTAGAAAAAATTGATCCGGAAAAGGTGGCAACATGTACCATCAATGGGTACCACCAAATTTATGGATTTACAGCACTTAAAAGAGAGATCAATGGTAAACAACATAATTCTAACACTCTATTACACAGTAAATGCAGTTGAACAATAAGTAACTTGCACAATTACTCTCTGTACATGAATACAACTGTTTCAGCATCTTGTACCATATGAGCACCGGGTTCAAAAAATCCAGAAACTCTCCTGCTGCAGTCCCAGGCTCCAAGAAAGCTGCACACTTCTGCTCATTTGTAACTGTCAAAGCACCAACCACTAACTCCAGCACATGGCTGTGCACTGCTCTACTGCTGGTAATGCTCGTAGCTAATTAAAGAAACACCCTGCATCTGGACTTAAATTATCGTGAGTTTTCACACTTCAGTAGAAACAAAGGGGTTTTAAGCCTGCATTTGACACCAGACACTGTGAAAGGAGTAAAAACTCTTAACTAGGTACTTCTAAGTAGCCCCACTTCCCTCGTGAGGGATGATCTCTTGCTGACAGAAAAGCAGTGAAAGGAATCCTCACTGTACATGGAGCAACACAACAGGCACAAATTCAATGCAGTAATGGGGGGAAACACTTTTTCTATGATTCCTTCTGGGCACTGTAATATGAGATTTTAAGTAATAGATCATGCTAATTTTAACAAATGTGATCTTTTGAAATCATGCCTATCCTCATGCATCACTCAGACTTTACTCTCTACCACCTACACAGTTTCTGTGTGTTTTTGCAAAAAAAGACTATTGTAATTCACCTCCAGAAACAAAACACTGGTCCTTCCCTCTCCTGGTAATCATGCAAGATGTTTAACCCCTTCCAACCCAGACAGAAAGAGCGGGAGACTGGAACTATCAACCAATGAAATATCAGACAACACACCTTTGTTTTGGCACTCCCAGGTGATGCAGTATTTTAAAACATGCAAACAGATGAACTTCAAGTTGTTAATATGCATCACATCCACTGTTCCTCCAGAACTTAATACAAAGAATCCAGTTCTGCCTTACCACAAAGTTTATTTCCCTACCCCCTTCCCTCCTTTAACAGCATAAATTACCTGTCAAGGTTTAAGTTTCCCGTATAAATAAATTCCAGGAGCTTTTGGAAGCCATCAGCTTTCACTTGAGTCTGATCCAGGACAACATTATTGTCGGACGCGTCTCTGTAGAAGGCCCCGAAGTACTCGCTGAAGGAGGCGAGCACGTTCCTGTGCGCTTTGAACTGGAACTCCCCGATGACCACAGTGCAGTCGCAGAGGAATCCGGCCTCTCGCTGCTTGTTCAGCCTCTCCAGCAGGTGCTCACAGTGATGGGAATACTGCATTTTGAGAACGCGCTGCAGCCGCTCTGTTCTGACCTGTGAAAGCACAAAAATAAAAAAATTATTTACGTGCAAGCTGTCACTTTGTTTTGCCCTCAGCGGAGTTAATGATTACAAAAGAGTCAGTGTCCGTGATCACCGAGGGCAGTTTGAGTAGCAGCGGGATGGAGGATCCTCCCGGACTCGGGGAGCCGCCGGTTTTAGGACAGGGGGCGGGCAGAGGTTTTGTGCTCCGCCGGCCCCAGCCGCTGAGCAGTCCCGCCGTGTCACACCGGGCCCGGGGAAGCGCCCGAGCTCCGAGCCCCGTAGCTCGGACCGACCCGGGCACCGGCACCGGGCGGTCACCGGGCCGGGCTTTGGGGCCGCCGAAAGAGCGAACGAAGCGCGGGACCCGCGGCCCGGCCCCGCCGCCGGACGGGTCGGAGCCCGCAGCGCCCTGCCCAGCCCCGCGTTCCCCGCTGTCCTCCCGACGCTGCTCTCCCGGCCCGGCCCGGCCGCGGCGGCCCCCGCGCACCTGCGGGGGGAGGGAGGAGGGAGCGCTGCCTTCAGGCCGCCATGTCCTGGTGACGCCGCCGCCGCTTCCGGGACGCGAGTTCCGGCCGGGGGCGGCTCGGGAAACCGGGAAATAAGCCGGGTTTAATGTAATGTTCCCGCCAGGCCGCGCCGCTGCTTTAATTAAAACAACACTGGTGAAACGACTTTAATAAACCGAGAGTGACGCCCTGGTTCCTGGGGAAAATAAAACGAGCCTCCTCGGCGGGTGTTTCCGCCCGGTTTCGAACCGGGGACCTTTCGCGTGTTAGGCGAACGTGATAACCACTACACTACGGAAACTCCGCTGGTACTCATGTCTCCCGGTTATCCACTAATTCCCTCCCGTCCTCGCTGTCCCCACCACGACCTCCGCTGTCTCATCCTGCCCCGCGAAGTGCCCAAAGCACCGCGATCGGGGAGATCTGCATCCCAAGGGACCCGTCAAATACCCCAGGAAGACCCGCATCCTCCTCCCACCTCCCGTCCCCTCTCCCCCCGCAGGTCACCCACAGGTCACCCCCAAGCGCGGGGGGCTCCAGGGTACTCCAGTGCTGCCCACACACACCGGGAATAGCACCATCCATGTGAAACAGAAATTTCAAGGAGGAGATGGGGTGTGTTTGGCACTGCTGGAAGGGCAGATGAACGCACAGCGGAGCTGGGAACAGGACACAGAGCATGTCACACCAGGCAGCCGCAGGCCTCTCGCTGCAGCTGGAGTTGGAGAATGGGGAAGCCACTAATCCTCCCGGATTTTCTACTCCACTGGGCACTAAAAATGCCTGATCTTGGAAGCAGCTACAGAAGGGAACTTGTTTTTGCCATCCTTTGCAAAGGGGAACACAAGCCAAACCCCAGCCAGTGGGAGAAGGAATAAAAAGAACTGAGAGAAATGAAATAGGAAAGGCTCCAGAGTGACAGGGAAGGGAAAGGGGAAAGGAAAGAAAGCTGGAAGCAACTCAACAACATTCTGTTGAGTTTGGCAGTGGCAGCTACAAGATTTCTTAATGCTACTGCTGTCATCTTGCAGAGGTTCTAATGGCTGCAAGGATTTGTGTGCACAGAGGTGACAAAATGAGCATCCTTAATAGCTCTTTTTGTTCTTGTAACATCTCCCAGGTCTATGTGGAAAAACACTTCTGGGAATCCACTTCTGCACAACTGTAGCACTCAGCGTGAGTTTGACATTGCAACCCACCCCCACATCTTCCCAACACAGATAACACAATAACATAGTAACATAATTACACCCATTTTGTTCCTGCAACATCTTCAGCAGTCCCCAAGGATTAAATTTTAATAACTGTAAATAAACTAATAAAACACAATACAAATTAACTAATGTATATGTATTGCTATTGACATAATATTTTCAGTCACAGCTTGACGACCACGGTTAAGAAAGGAAGGTCCTATTTAGGTCACATGCTATAACCTTCTCCAAAGAGCTGAATGGTCTCAGCTCTCACAGCTGCTGAATTTGCCTGGATTGCGAACAGGTCAAATATATTTCCAGTATTTTTTTCAAAACAAACCACATAATTTAGATATATACATTCCCAATGTCCTTTACCTATGAGAATTCCAGAGTACCTTGACCAGAGGGAGATGCTGGTGTTGCCATGGAGACTGGGGTGGAAAAGTACTTGTCCGATACCACTGTATTTTGTTTGATTCCTGTAGGTATCCAAAAAAGCACGGGATTGTCATATTCTGGGCAGATGTGAGGCTGTGGGGAAGAAGTGGCACAGCTATTCCCTGAGCAGGCTGATGTGCCAGCTCTGTCTGCCCAGGCTGTGCTCACACTTGATGTCTCAGCACACGCCATGTCAGGGACTCCAGTTATGGTGTCACCCACAGTGACAATCAGTGACCCCAATCTTTGAAGGCTGCTCCTGGTCCCGTGTTATTTTCCAGCTTGACCTGGACAGCTGTGAACTTAAACAGCACCGAGCATGGGTTCTCAAAGAAAGTGGCACTTCTTACATCACCAGAGCTGAGAAGCTGATTGTACAAGGCGCAAAAGTAAAATTAATTATGTGTGTCTCAGGCTCAAGGAAGAGATGACTAATTATCCTACTGAGGTGGAAAAAACTTACCACCTTCCGTGAAATTACAGTTCAGAATCAAAGGTTTAGTTGCCCTGAAACCCTCTGTCACTGTCCTGATGTTGGGACAGAGTTATCAGGGATTGACAAGCTCCACTCCAATTCTGTCATGAATGAATTATCATCATGTTGGTGTAAGACTCCCACTGCAGTCCTTTCTGCTGTTTTCTGGTGGCCTCTTCCCTGGAATTAAGTTGAATGCATGGTCCTGGGAGGTGTTGGGGTCAAACTCAAAGCTCCTTCTAATAAGAAATTTTCAGTTTTGTTCGAAGGTTTCTCTCTTCCCTGACTGCCTCCCAGCCAATTACTGTGTCAGAGTACAGGGAGGCTGAGCCTAAAACAGTGCACAGAAAATGTTTCTAAAATACATGTGATTTTATAACAGATTTTACTTAACACTTCATGGAAAATAACCTGAGATTACAGTTAGCTGGGAGCAAGAGTCTAGGGGGAACACCAATAAAATCGTCTGGCACAATTTATTGCTAGTTAGTCCATGAACACATCTTTCTGAATAGGTGTACAATACTGTTTTTGTAGGCTCTTTACCAGAACGATAATGAACAGCACATATATGACTAAAGTTGAGAAGACCAAAAGCAGAAGACTGCTTTAGATTTCGTTGTACCTGCATAACTGCACTGCCTGGGAACGCCTTGCTTTTCCATGGAAATCTCAGTGTCAGAAAGCAAACACACTACAACCTCTCTGAGGAACGTGACGGAGCAGAGGGGAGGCAGCCGCTGTCCAAGGGGAGTGCTCCAGGAAACAGGTCCTTCAGGGAGCATCCGCCTGGCACCGAGAGGTCACGGCAGAGGTAAACAAATACTCTCATCCAATGGAGCGCGGGGGGCTGGCACAGCCCTGCTCCGGGGGGGGGGGGAAGGCGGGGTCTGCGCCCGGCTCCTCATCCAGGGCTCCTCGGCTGGGTCGGGCAGGACTTGAATGTGGGCCCGGGCCCCTGAGTTCAGCCCCCGGGCACCCAGTCGTGGCCCTAAACCCCCAGACACCAGCACCCAAAATCCTGGCACCAGCCCCTAAATCCTGGCACCAGCTCCTAAATCTTGGTACCAACCCCCAAAATCCCTGGCACAAGCTCCCAAACCCCAAGTACCAGCCCCTAAATCCTGGCACCAGCCCCCGACTCCCACTCCAAGCCCAGGGCCCGGCTCCGTGTCCCGGTTCCCTATCCCAGATCCCAGCTCCATTCCCAAATCCCGGATCCCGGCCGCGGTGCGGGGCGGGCGCGCTCCCGGTCCTGGCGCGCTCCCGCGAGCACGCGGCGCGTTCCAAACTCCCGCCACTCTGAACGCCCCGCCCCCTCTTCCCGATCCATCCAATGGCGACGGAGGAGGGCGCCCCTCCTGCCAATGGGAGCGCGGTAGGCGTGGCCGCGGCTCTTTAAGAGGCGGTGCGAGGCGCGCCCCTGGTACGTGCCGTGTGGGGAGGTCCCTAGCTAACTAACCCTAATGGCGCCCGCGCTCCCCTCGCCTGCCCGCTGTTTTATTCGCTGACTTTCAGCGGGCGAGGGGAGCGCCCGGGGGGGTGGGGGGAGGCGGAGGAGGAAAGGGGTCCGGCATTAAAAAATGTCAGCGAGGGGGCTCCTCACCCCGGCCCGCTCTGGGGTCCCCGTCCCGCAGCCCGGAGCGCTCCCGCCGCCGCGCCGCACGGAGGCCGCGGTCGGCCGGCCCAGGGCCACTGCCGCCGCGAAGAGCTCGTCTCTGTCAGCCTCGGCGGCGGCCGGGAGAAGAGAAGCGGTCCCCCCCCAGCCCCGGGCAGTCGGGGGTCCCAGCAGAGCAAACCGGGAGCGGCGCCGCCGGGCTGGGCAGCCGCGGCTCCCTCAGCCGTGGGGTGCGCGGCCGGCGCCGCCCCGACACCCCCAAACCCCCCATCTCCACCGGCACGGTCCGACCCACTGGGGTCGGGGGGTCCAAGCGGACCCACTGGGGTCGGGGGGTCCAAGCGGACCCACCGGCTCTGCTGGGCCGGCCGGGGACGCCAAAGGGAGCCCCCAAGGCGTCGGTCCCCGCCGAGGTTCGCTGTGTGCCCCCCGCTGCGGGATGCTGAGATCTTATCTGGGAGAGAGAGCCCTGCGGCCGTGGGAGCTCTGGGAGCTCGGAAATGCCGGATTTAACGCATCGAGTTTAGGAAATGTTGAGTTCTACTCATCGATTTCTAGCAGCGCGGGGCTGAATTTGCGGAAACATGCGAGACTGAGCACTGGGGACAAATATTTCGCTGAGGTGTGGAACAGGGATTGTGAGAGGAAGGTGTCAGGGCTTGTCCCCATTCCTCTCTCTGTATGGAGGCCTTGGTGCTGCCATGAAGAGAACCTGCCCATGGTGTGCCAGGCACAGCACCAAAGCTGGCTGAGATGTGCTAGGCGTGGTACCAAACCTGCCTATGGTGTGCTGAGCCAGAGCACCAAAATCTGCCTGAGTTGTGCCAGGCATAGCACCAAACCTGCCTGTGATGTGCTGAGCCAGAGCACCAAAACCTGCCTGTGATGTGCTGAGCCAGAGCACCAAAACCTGCCTGTGATGTGCTGAGCCAGAGCACCAAAACCTGCCTGTGGTGCGCTGAGCCAGAGCACCAAAACCTGCCTGTGGTGCGCTGAGCCACAGCACCAAAACCTGCCTGAGTTGTGCCAGGCCTGGCACCAAACCTGCCTGACGGTGTGCAAGCACAGAGGGAGGAATGTCCAGAGCCCACCTCCTGCCATCACCATCATAGGAATGGGCTGTTCAGTTACCTCTGCTGGTAAATTCTGGCCACAGGCCAGACCTTCTTGGTGTTTCTATACTGACCACTTGCAGAAGGTTCCCTGGAGCTGCTGGTGCGATGGAGCCAAGGGTGACCCACTGCCCCATCACAGGCCTCAGCAGGGAACAGACATGGCCCTACAAACTGGGCTCGGGAATCGCTCAGT